CATCGGTGGGGGCAACGCTCGCCCCTCCTGGCTCCTGGACTCAGTGTGTGCACTCCGAGAAAGCAAGGAGAGAGGGAACTGATGTTGGGTTTTTTTCCTAGGACATGGCTTTGGGATGTTTTGAGGATGCCAGGCGGGTGCAAAGCCCACAGTCACGTACCAAACTGCCTTCCCCCCCCACCGAGGAGCCTCCAGGTGAAGTGCAAGTATCGAGACCCACAGCGCAGTGCTTAAGGTGCTTGTTTGCCAGCAAATCCCATTCCCTAAGTCCCTCTCTAGCTGACAAAGGCCTTTTCCTCCCCGGCAAAGCCTGGGTGAGGGGCAGGGCAGGGATGCAGCCACAGCACGGCCCCAGCCGGCTGCCCCTCATTGTGCAACAGGAACTGGGGTTATCCGCTGCCGTCCTTCCCTGCTGGGGGGACCTTTACTATGACCACCAGATCTATCAGCTTTTTTTTTTTGGGGGGGGGGCTGTAAACAGCTACCCTCCAAAGCGCCTCACACATATTTCTCAACAAACTCCAGCTCAATCGACTCCAAAAAGTGCAAACTGAAACAAACACAGCAGAGGAACACCCACGGTGTCCCTGTCTGGGCACCCACCACTCCTCCATCCTCAGCACGCGGCTCCGGGCTCGCTGCCGGCCAGCGCCAGGGTGGCAAAGTCCCAGGGGCAGGAGCGCAGCTCAAGATGACACCACTCCACGTGAAAGGGTAACGATGTCCTGACCAAACCTGAGCCTCTCCTAAAAAAAACCTCTCAAGAGAGCTTCCAAAAGGGACAGGGGGGAAAATTGCCTCCAAATTCTCGGTAGCACCAAGAGAGACCGTGGTTGGCGTGCTGCTGAGCTGGCTGGGCTTCCTCGGGGAAATATCGCAGCTGGATGAACATTTGTGACTTGACACATGCGAGAACCATTTATCCCCTGAACTGCCAGATGTCTCACTCAGATGGGGGCTGTAGAGCACAAAGAAGAAGGTTAGAAGGGTCTTCACAGCCTGAGGAGCTCGTGGTGCCCAGCATGGCACTCGCCCCTCTACTATGAGAAAGACCAGGGTGAGATTTACCAGGAATGCAGCGCGAGCACGCAGGAGAACAAGGCTGTCCTCTGCTTACCCGACTTGAGTAACAGAACACACACGCCTAAGCAGAATAAAGAACGGACCAGAAGTGTCTGTGCATGTATATATACATATACACACATACACACTTTAAATCTTCCCGTTTAGCTCCTCTTTTGATCCTCCCCACAACCTGCTCTGGTAATTAGATGCACACAAAGGTAGACTGTTCAGAGTTAGTGGCAGCGTGGACTCACGCATTTTTTTCGGTGCAGCGTGCCAAGACTGCGCCGGGCTTTGTGATCCTTTGTGACGAGGCGCAGCTGGGGACTCTGCGCTCAGCCTGCTGAGCACTTCACCGGCCCACGCACCGCCTCCCCAGCAGATCCCTACATCGCCTCAACCGCCTTCCTATCGCTAGACCACCTTGTTTGCTTCTCTGCCGTCTTCTGACTTTCTGCTACCCTCTGGGAGCTCTGTTCTCTCCTTTACAGCACACCCAGAGCAGCTCTCCTACCCTCCCGCGCCCCAGAAAAAGCAAGCTGCAATTAGCAGGGTGGTACTGAAGGGGGGCTCGTGCCTGCGCTCAGCCCCGGCACAGCCCGCGCAGATGTACGAGCCCTCGCCCTGGAGAGCCCCACCGCAGGGGTTGCTTTTGCTCATGAACAGGAGTGCTAAAGAACAGCAGAACTGAAGTGCCCTGACAGAAATGCACAGCGTGAGGTGTGTGTGCACCTATACCCACACACACGTACGTACAGAGTATATAAATATATACAAATGAGATACCATATATATATCCAGAGAGATGTGCGTATTCCACAGAGTAATGGGAGACAGTGGTACAATACAATTTATTGCCTCTCAAGAAATGGCACGTAAGCAGGGGCAAGGGACAGGGCAGCCTCAGGTGCAAGGGGCCCTCGTCCCTGGGGAGGGGAATAAACAGCATCAGCCCAGGATGTCCCAGGGAGCGCCCCAGGGGGGTCACAGCGAGCGTGCGACGCACGTTCCCCGTGGAGCAGGAGGGCTGGGTGCGATACGGAGCGATGCCAGCCCGGCCCCAAGCCAGGCAAGGGATGGCTGCAGGGGATTTTCTGTGGAAAGCTTGGTATCGTACCACATTGATTTCTTCAACCTCTTTGAAGTTCACAGGCTTGGAGGGAAATGCAGGTGAAACAGAGCTGGCCTCCATTTCAGCGCTGCATCTGAGGAAGAAAGCACGTGGGGGTGAACAGGGGAGGGAGAGGCGGCTGCTGACTCCCCGGGACACGGCGAACAAGAGAAACACGGTCCCTTGCACTGATTTTAATTAAATAAAATCAACAGAAATTCAATGAGAAAGAGGTGAAAACGCTGGCTCCTCTTTCTTTCTTTTTTTTTTTTTTTTTTTTTTTATCTCTCGGCTAAACTACATCAGAACTTTAGGTCTTTGCAAAGGGGAGAGAAGAATAACCACAGAGTAAGAGACGGCAGGGGTCAAGCTGGTGATTTGAAAATACTGCAATAAAATTTGCAAAGTAGTCCACACAGAAGAGTTTCCCCAGTGTTAAATACGAACATAAAAGATGTGAAAGAACATCCTTGCTGAGGTACTGGAGCAGCTTCCACAATTTACAGATTACAGTATTTTTAAAACCAAAGTTAGGGCATGACTGCAACGAGTACAATATGAAGAAATTGGTCTTACTTTAAAAAAAATAGAGTTTGCAAACTGATTCAGAGAGTGTTTGCGGCTCTCTAGCGTATTTTAGAGTTGCTCATGTATCTCAGAAATATACCTGAGATACATTAAAATTCTCAACACCAAGGGCCTCCTCGCAGACCTCCAAGGCACAGCCTGACCCCGAGTCCCTATCGGGGTGCTTTCTCTCGAGATCAGGCTTGTTTGGGACAGCTTTCCTTCCCCCACGTACACACAGGGACACACACATTTAGACCAGTTGATCTGAATCAGTTTTTGCAAACTATTTTAATTAAAATATTAACTTGTTGGAATAGTCCAGGTCTGCACATGATATACATGTAAAAATGGTTACTACACAGTTCTTTTTGAATACAAAAAAAGCCAATATGGGACAGCCATCATTTGGATTCAGCATTCAGTCATGCTTGACATTACACAAAGAGATGGGTTGAGAGAATTCTGTTGAAGTAGCTCAGTTTAAGCCAGAGACTTTGACCAAATTCAAACCATAACAGAAGCAAAAGAATGAACCCACCGAACCTGCAGGTACAGCCTGTCCCCGCTGTCACTGTCGCTGTTTGTGAGAGGAGCTGAACTTCAAAAACGCTGTGTTAGCACCATGCTCCGAGCACACCCTCCACACTCGCATGGTAAATCCCGTACAATTTTGGCCTTTCATTTCATATTTTTCTTTCTAAACCCAGGAAAATACAGGTACCTTTCCTAAATCGCTTTTGCTGCATTTCAACAACGCTGCAATGCAAAAGAATGACCCCAAAACATCCAATTCCACATACAAACATGGCAGAGGAAAGGACAGGACAATTCACGGTCACCACCTGCCCCAGGGGGCAACCAGCATCACCTCCATGGGACCACCGCCTCATCCCAGGCTTCCATCAACTGTTAGTACTACAAAGCTCCTTACTAAGGGGCTGCTCAAACATATTCTGGTAGAGTTTCCATCTTCGGTTAGAGCGATACGCTACGTCAAGATGCTAGAAATCCCAGTTGGATTCACCGGACAGAGAGTTAAGGATTGGGAGTGGATGTTAATTTAGCTAACGAAAGAACGTCGCCCTGTCAAGAGTACTGAACAGCAGCGAGACACTAGAGTATGTTCTATATAAATATGTCACATGGACAAACACACTTGGAAAACCTTGCTTTTGAGCCCTATAAACATATTAAAGGCAAATCCTAGAGTTAGCAGCTAGTGTTTTCTTCAAGATGATTAGTGTGCAAGGAAAAACATTTACAAAGAACCCTGGCTGGTCAGACCCCAAGACGGAAAGCTTTGCCTCAAGCCAAACTTCGTCTACCTGCTCTCTCCCTAGCCTCACCGAGCCGGCTGACCCAGACCGCCCTGGCACTGGCACAAGAGCACGGAGGCATCTCCAGTTCCCAGCACTAAGGGATGACACGATGCCACAAAGTCATTCGGTTAATGAGACTCCCCGACCCCTTTATCGCCGTATGGATTTCACAACCTCCTCTGCTTCCTTTCAGTAGTACAGCAGCTCCAACGAGCCTCTGGAAGTAGTGCCTTCTCGCGTGGTGCGATATGCTGCCAAAACATCACAGCATCTCAAGGGACTGTAAAAGTTGTGAAGTATTGCAGCAACAAAAATAATAAAAAAGGAGCCTCACATGCAGCAAGATCTACAGTGGTGATGTGGGTTAGTCATCAGCTCGGAAAGAGTCATTGGCTCAGCTCCTCCTGGTACGCTGTGGCAACTAAACATTTAAACAGTTGGCTACACTCTACATGTAAACAGGAAATTGCAACAAGCCAAAAAGGTAATAAATTGGTGGATGTAGAGTAATAATGAAAAACCTGACCAAATGGCATTTTGTGACTATGGCATCCTTCAAAATACCTCTGGCATTTGAGACTGGCTGAAAGTCTAATATTTCTGAATGGAGCAAAAAAGGACTACGCTGGGCTCCAAGAATTACTCTGATGCTTAGCTAAAATGAGATGTCACAGTATTAGCTGTACAAGTGCATTACTTACGCTCCTCTGTCCCGCCTTGTCTGAGCTACCAGCAGCACAGCCAGGGAGTGCTAAAGCAGAAATAAATTATTTCTAGCCTGTTCCCTCCCGACAGGTTTACCTACACAGTTCTCGGGAAGCTGACCAGTGCCTTCCGAGAGAACGCCACTTCTTACACAACACGGAGCGGGCACTTGGGTAGAAGGGCCCTGCTGAGCCCTGGTGTCTCTTGGCCTTTCTTTTCACCCTTCTTCCTCGCCTACAAGTCTTCGAAAACGCCTCTTTGCAGAGGCAATACCCTAGAAATGTATCCAATTTAATGACAAATAAAAATGGAACAGAAGATCCAGCTGTTCCTCCCCTGGATGTTGGTTTAAAGGCAGCTCGCCTGGTTTTTGCAGGGTGGCAGTTGGAAATTTACGGACATGGGAGGAGGTCTCCATTCTCCCTCAGACTTCCTATGGAGAGTGTGATGAGGGCAGTCCGAGGCCCTTCTGTCCTGTCAGTGTGATGACCACCAGCCAACTTTTCTGACTAATTGCATATATTTCTCAGATGCCCTCCCAAGACCCCTCCAAAAAGTAAAAAAAAAAAAAAAAAAAAAACCAACAAAAAAACAAAAAACCACCCCCCCAAACCCTGCAGCCAAATACTATGACATCCCAGTTAGTAAACACAAAACGTAATGCTTTACAAAATGAATACAATATTCCATGTGCACCCAGCTTCCACACGTCAGCACCGCACTGAGGAGGCTGCTGGGCTGGTGTCTGTAGGCAGTTTCTGTTGGCAGACAGCTCCAGTGGAATTGCCACCCTCAGTTATTGTTTAAGTTATGTATAAGACATGTGTGAACCATTGGATATTTGTGAAGTAACACTTGTGCTCCTGCTCATGCCCTGTTCCGTCCGTCCCCCAGAAGCTGTCCGCCTCAGAGCCTGGGGGCTGTTGCGGACCCCTATAGCACTACTTCGAGGTACCCCCTGCATGGGCCCCGAGGGGTGACCCCATGGCTGGGGTCCACCTTGCATTGGATGGCCCCAAGCTTGTGGTGGGCCACCCATGGGATGACCCCAGTGAGGTCCTGCACCCCCAGTAGGATTGTGGGACCAGCCAGAAGCTCCCGGGTAGCTGTGGCTGAACGCCTCGGGGGAGAGATTAGAAAGAACCATATTACTAAAACCTAGCCTCATGCTTTCTGAGTCAAAGGCTTCGATCTCGCGAGCTTGACGCTCCAGCAGGCTTCGTATCCGTTCGGTACGCTCGTTCTGCAACGCCAGCATCTCCTCCTCAATCTAGGAAGGAAAAAAGAAGAGACAGTCTGTAGCAGCAGGACTCCTTTACCGGCACAGCCTCAAGCCCCTAAAGGACTTGTAACAGCAAGCTAATGGGGAACCTTCTCCCCACGTTTTAGGGATGCGAATCCAAAGTTTGCAGTGATACTAACAGCCTTACATAGACTAATCTTGTAAGACACAGATCTTTACAAGCTTCCATAAAGGCCTGCTGGGAAAGCACCTTCAGAGACAGCCAAGCACGGTGCCTATACAGTCAGACACCTGCCAGCACAGCTTAATGACACCTTTCCCGGTTGTAGCTGAACCTGATGATGATGACTACTATTTTTTCCAGGATTCAGTGTACAAGCCCACATTCAGGTTCCTCTCAAATGTTCACTGGACAGATTTTCTTAGCTCATGTTTATCACCTCCTATTCACCCCTCTCCTAAATTGGTTTCTCATGTTCCATTACCCTGATACTTTCTCCAGGGTGTGTGGCTGAAAAAAGTAGGCAGTGATGTTTGAATTGCATGGCAGGTTATTAGCTAGATGATATGCAAGCTGGTAACTCCAATTTCTTCCCCGTAACACTGTTCCAAATTGGTTTCCATCGGTACTTTCGTAGGGGCACTGAGATCAGCTCTCTCAGTAGAGACAACATGGGGTACAGCCTCCCGACCCCCATCAGACGGGGATGAAAGCCTTTCTTATTGAGATCCTTGCAGGCAGGTGGAGAACCAAAGAAACACTCCATTATCTTCTTGCCAGCCCTGAAAAAGCTACTTTTGGCCTCGATGAAAAAGATCAAATGGGTAAAAAGCAGCAGCCAAGACTTTTAGCACAGCTCACTGGCATCTCCCCTGCTGTCAGCAGCAACGCGGCCAAGAGGTGTTATCCTGGTCTGCGCTGGAGGTACGGGGCAGAACGCTGTACTTGTAAGCACTCTCTTGCCCTGGTCAGGGAATATACAAAGTGATTTCATCTGGAATTTAGGAAACAATCTGCTCCAGCGTGAGTCATCTCCTTTCAGAAACAGCCTTATCCACTTGCCTGTTCCTTACCACGAGGAGTGTAACACCGACTCTCTCCATAGAGCAGCCAAGCTCACTCCTGCGGAAAGCCCGGCAGCGGTCAGCCGGCTTGGAAAAGGCAGAAGAGGAAGAAGATGCCTTCTCTAACGTTAGCCCTTCAAAATGCTACACTTGTTTTTTCCAGTCCTGCTATCTACGCAGAATCCTCCTCTTCCTTTCTCAAAACTACAGTGTCTCCGACATGTCCAGCTGCTCAGTTTTCAGGCTTTGTGACAGCGGAACACACGGGATTTAGTGCAACTACACTTCCCAGAAAGGCGTGCCTAACACACCGCATCAAAATGACATCGCTTAGGAAAGACCTCAGGACGCGGGACTCTGAAGATGAGGTGTGTGAGGCATGTGGGAAGGAAATGAGGAAATCTGAAGTCTCTTAAAGACACTCTTGGGACATGCTCGTTACTGGTGCAACACAAACACCAGAGCAGCAGGGCACAGCAGTACAGCGCCTCAGCCACTGGCACCGACAGGCTGGCGCTGATGGGGCTGGCTGCTCCCTCCCCAGCCTCAGTCAGACATGGATGCTCCGGTGAGTTACTGTGCTGATGGGCACTGGCAAAAGCAGAGAGCACTGTGCTGAGAAGGAAGCAGAGTCCTATGCACACCCTAACTTCTGGAATCTGACTTATTACGGAACATCAGGGACTGACTTTGCCACAGGCTATGTATATATTTGTGCACAGAAATGCAGACGCTCATCTCGCGCACATACCTGCCTCTCCTCTGGCTGTCAGCTGCAGTCAGCACAGGCACACAAACACCAGGTGACAGCACAGAGCGACCCACACCAGAACACTCACAGAATCACAGGATGGTTTGGGTTGGAAGGGATCTTAGAGATCATC